CAACTGCCATCTGTCTCCTCTCTCTCTCTCTCCTCTTCTCTCTCTCTCTCTCTCTCTCGCCCTCTCTCTCTCTCTCTATCTCTCTCTCTCCTCTCTCTCTCTCCCTCTCTCTCTCTCTCTCTCTATCTCTCTCTCTCTCTCTCTCTCTCTCTCTCTCTCTCTCTCTCTCTCTCCTCTCTCTCTCTCTCTCTCTCTCTTCTCTCTCTCTCTCTCTCTCTCTCTCTCTCTCTCTCTCTCTTCTCTCTCTCTCTCTCTCTCCTCTTCTCTCTCTCTTCTCTCTCTCTCTCTCTCTCTCTCTCTCTCTCTCTCTCTCTCTCTCTCTCTCTCTCTCTCTCTCTCTCTCTCTCTCTCTCTCTCTCTCTCTCTTTCTCTTCTCTCTCTCTCTCTATCTCTCCTCTCTCTCTCTCTCTCTCTTATCTCTCTCTCTCTTCTCTCTCTCTCTCTCTCTCCTCTCCTCTCTCTCTCCTCTCCTCTCTCTCTCTTCTCCTCTCTCTCTCTCTCTCTCTCTCTCTCTCTCTCTCTCTCTCTTCTCTCTCTCTCTCTCCTCTCCTCTCTCTCTCTCTATCTCTCTCTCTCTATCTCTCTCTCTCTCTACTCTCTCTCTCTCTCTCTCTAGCTCTATCTCTCTTCTCTTTCGTTTCTCTTTCCCTCACCCTTCCTCCTTTCCCTGCTTTCCCTCCTTCCTCCCCACCATCCCCTCTCACCGATGATCCAGCACTTGCCGAGTACTGATCACGCCATCCCAGCTCCGTTCTCGCACCGCTATCGCCGGCCGCCGCTACTGCGTTACCGGCACGTGTCCCAAGTTGTTGTAAGGTGGACCTGTAGCTCCAGGTCCGGACTTGTGGTTTAGGTTCTTGAACCCTGACGGAAGTGCAGAAGGAGCCTATGTGTCAGGATTGATGCGAGGTCTTAGTGTCAAGGATGTGATGATTGTTCCGACCATCACCCTTGCCCGATGGCTTAGTATGCACACAACGTCTCGGCCAGTTCGGCCACGTAGGTTTGCATCACGGGTGGAGGGGAGGGGGGGATGCTGTGGTCCTATCAATCGCATGCCGCAGAGTGACAGCTGTGCGGCTTGTTCCTTCGTATGTACCTTGTTCCCTTTGTATGGAGATGATAGGTGCCATGTCTCCGGTGCATAATGCCTCAAGTACGGTGAGACGTCTTTGGTCTGTGGTACGGAAGTATGGGAGTGTTCGTGACTAACGTATTTCTGGTGAGTGGGGTGTTGTAGTATGTGCGCGCAGTATTTTTGACGCACCCTCTCACAAGTGCATGGTTAAAGGTCGGCTGAGGCGTGTTCCAGTCAGGCCAATTTACTTCACTTTGCGGGTTTTCACGGAACCCGGGCAGCACATTGGAGTTAGCTATGTTGGCCTGTTTCAATTTATGTTTCTTATATTGTTTTACTTCGATAGCATGTGAAAAAATGTTTGTTTTTCCGTTGATCAGTCGGGTGCAGTGTTTGAGGACAATGTCGTTGCAATATTCTCTTATCGACTTTCCAAGATGTGTCCATAATATATGTGTAAAACAGTATTCAGTGTTTCATGACGGTCACGAGAGTCATTCTCTGCTATTCTTTTTGAGGAAAGTGATGGGTAAGATTTCGTGAGATTGTCAGCCAGTAATATTTGTGTACCCGTATGATGATCATCTGGTGCAGCCAGTCTATCTACCTATCAAAAGTTTCCACGAAGAACAATTTTCAAATCCTGCAAATACAAGCCCGAATGACATTGTTCTTGTCTGTATCTGGACAGTCCCATTGGATTCATATATTTTACCACCTGGTTCGGTTGGCGTTTCTGCTAACATCTATCCGAAATGCACTATTGGATGAGTCCCGTTCAGGAGGTAAAGAATTGAGCCACCTTTTGCTTGTTTACACTAAGTTCGACAGTGAAATTCAAGCCTTCACTCGTCCTTATGTTTTTCCACGCAGAGATTGAGATGATCAGTTGCCGCCGAGATCTACGAAAAATGCCATTCGATATAATAACGGAAAAAAACAGTTCAGGCCTGGTGTCCAGAAAAATTGAAGTTCATGTTTTTTCTTACATGGCGTATCAGATGCGTGTTGCGAAACATAACATCCCAGCGGGGGAGCCCATCACAACCCCCCTATACCTACCAAGTAGTAGGTTGCTTTTTGAGAGCATTCTGAATGGGGCCTCTGGTGGCGTACGCCCTCCACAGCGTTTCCCTTCCATGACCACTCGAGGGTAACTTGGGTGGGCCAGGGATTCATGATTTATAGGACATTATTTGCCAGACTTGATAACTAATGTTTTTTTTTCAAAGGAGCACTCGTGAACAAACTTTCGACATCCAGTGATGCCAAGGGACCCGCGAGCCTTTTAACCTCCAGAATGTCCGCTAGTTCTTCAGTACTTCGAAGCTTCGAAATTCATAAGTCCGATCATGTATTTTGCACGAATACGATATGAAACCGGACTTTTATATGTGTGCTGTGTTTGTGACCTGCACGTTTAAAGTGTAAACATTATCTTGAAAATGATCATGGAACTAAACGAAACATTGGACAAATAGGGAAACTTTGGTAGCATTCTGTGTCATCGCAACGGAAACAACGAATGTACCATTCGAAGCCTTGAACAAACGACCACGAAAATCATAAACGCGGAATTTGCTGTGATGTGCAACCGTATACAGAAAACCTCTTCTCGAAATACTCTATTTGATGCATGGTATCGAAGCACTCTATATGACGTATTATATATATATATATATATATATATATATATATATATATATAATATATATATATATATATATATATATATATACATGAGACACGTAGCTCTTCCTGATGTCGGCTTGCGCCAACGGCACATCCATCTTCAACTGTATTACATACCCGTCAGGCAAATAGCGTAAGAAGGGTGCCTGCAGGACAATGGCTATGACCTCGTGGACTCTTTAAGTCCGTTCCAGTGTTTCCAGTCAGGTATCCTGATCATTACATTTTGACGAAAGTGGGTGACACACTAGCATTACATGATAGGACCCAGCCTTCCTAAAATGTCGTATACCCAAATGCCTGAGGCTACCCATCTTAAACATCACGAGCCTATCTCGAAGGCATGGAAAGCGGGCAGACTAAAGAACTAAGTCCATATAAAATCGATCGGTACGTCTGTAAGACAGAGCGTGGTTTTTGTGTGCTAGAGCGTGCTGGAGGTTGTATCAAAATAGTTCCGTTTACTCCATGACACACGGTAAGCAAATGGTGCTGCCTTTTACAGTTTATGAGACATGTTGTCCAGTGCGTATCGAGAGGATGGATGGTGGGTTAAATCAGTGGATATGCATATTTTAGGTAGCACAGAAGTAACCTAAATAAATATTGACTAAAAATGTGGAGCGCCTTCGTCCTGCTGGTCCTCCACATCCGGAGAAGTATGGGGATGGCTCAGCCTCATCGCCTTCTCCCGTTCCCGAGCCAGTGGAAGTGTTAAACATGAGGAGGCTTCGTTTTTTTCTGCCTGATGTCATTTACACCTTTTACCAGGCACAATCTTTCGGGCATGCTTATCTGAACGGAATGTATGTCATGCGAGCTTTAAAGTGCTCCACAAAGAGGTAGTAAGTCTGGAATGCCTTGCACGGGTATTCCTGCTGCAAAGGAACAAGCTCACTCGGTCTAGGGCTTTGGTTGTTTTTTTTTTTTGTATTTGTATGCAAGTATGACTGAGGAAGTAATACAGTGAATGGTGCCAAGCCAAATGATGCTTCAACAGAACTTAATTGTGTGAATGGATGACCCATTGTATTGCCACAAAGAATTTCTTTCTGCGCCTTCTAATTTTACTGTTTTTGCCCCTTCAACATTTGTACCTTCTCGTTTCCCGCTTCATTTATGACTGACAGTCATCTTCGTCCATCCGCTACAGCACTCTGAGCAGCTGAGACTGCACAGTTATAAAGGTTTCGACAGTTTCTAGCATGGAGGGAATCCCACATCGAGGCCCGGTTGCAAATCAGGAGATAGCAGTTGGAACACATTCTTTTATTCTTAACTGAAACGGATGGCTGTTTGGCTTCAGCACGTCCATTCAAGTGATCGATGCGCCCATAATTTCACAAAACAACCGCGGTGCTATATGATACCTTTATCTTCAGTTTCTGCCACGATAACGAAAACATTTGTCTCTGGTGGGTCCTGGTCCGAAGAGCCTAAACATCATCTATGTTCATCACTTTTGATATGCACAAGATGGGTTTGCTCCCCGACCGAAAATCACGATTGAAGTAAGAAGCGGCATCGCTGCCTAGCTGCAGAGGCCGCAAGTCAAAGACCTATAAAGACATCTCAAAGGCTGCGAGACAGTCTAACTGCTTGCAAAACTGAGGGGTTGGCTTGACACTACACGGGTAGAAAACAGCTTTTAGACCGACAACAACTGCAAAGATGACAACTTAGTTTAAGTAGCGGCTTTTTAATAA